TATTAGTGACAATTTTAGGAAAAAATGGCGGCCATTTTGAAACGGCTGGCAACCCCCCTTACGTATGAAAAAAAAAATGTTGCACATACTTTTTTTATTTATCTATGTCTACTCTACATCATATCCAATTTAAAAAAAATATAGCAAAAAAAAATGCAACCAACCAAAGTTTGCTGGACTAATGGTTGTCTTCTCTTCAAAAGAATTCTTATTCCTGTATTTTAACAAATTTCAATTCAAATAATAATAATTTAAAAGTCTCTTCTACACCGGTCGTAATTATGTATGTAAATATATTTAAACTTTAATAATTTAGATTAGGCTTATAGATAGAACATGGACCTATTAATAAGATCATGGATCTTATTAATAGGTCCATGGATAGAATACCCGATCGGAAGTGGAGGTCCCAAGTGAGAAGAGCATGCGCACATACTGTTGGAAGCACTGCTTCCATTCCAGTGTTAAATTGGCTATTCTGACGCCCACCACACGGTTGTCACAATAGCAAATTTAAATGCTCTGACTTCCATTGACTCACTGTATACGTGATTGGCTGATATCGAAGACCAGCCATGCGGAAATTATAAGCAGCTAGAGTACGATGCGATAGGCCCGACTGTGACAATATCCTAAGTACCAAAGTAGGCCAAACATTGAAAAACTTTGCTATTCCAATGAACTGTAGCATTCCACTCAAAAAATTAAGGTGTATAGAAGATCCTGACTAAGAAATGCTAAATAAAACGGAGAAACTGTACTACTATATTTTTTTTAATTTGTTTTAACCAGGGTATGCACTGCATACCTTGCTTGCCTTGACGGTCCGCCACTGATATAGAGCAATATAATATCAAAACTATATGTTTAAATAAAAGTTGGCTATAGCAATTTCAATTTAGTGTTAGATTATCATTGAACAAGTATTTGTGTCCTGTATTTAACGTGTTGCCAATTTTGAGGAAATAAAATAGTACAGTATCATTATAATAATATTGTGAATGTTTAAAACCTTTGGATACATAGTTATCATCAGCACCACCAAGCCAAATTGTACCGGCATTCTTGGGATTGGACACAGATTGATGGAAATCCACAACTTTGCTAGTAATAGACCCAAGAGGAGGGGGGAGGGAGAAGGGTGGGTTAGTAGGAAGGGAGCAAAGGTGAAGAGGGAGGAATCGATCAGTGAGGGTGCTCTAGCTGAGGTAATATGAGGTGAATTTTACCTACTTGAACATATTCCTTTTTGCAAACCTTCCCGCGGGGAACAACTTGGGTGGGCAAGAACTTTTTTGGGTGTACCCCTCGATATGCAACTGAACCATAACAGAAAAATTAACAAAATGATACAAATACAATAATACCAACCCATTACCATTTTATTGATCATGAGACATATATGAATTCATAGTGGATCGTGAGGAATATCAAACAAACAAACTGCTCATCACAAAGACAGTTTTTCTTGGTCAAACACAGAGGGCGCTATACTGCTTTAAAATAACAGAGTAACACCACAGTGCTTGCTGAATACCACAATTCCAGTGATCCTTAATCTTTCTAATGAAATTATTTGGGTTACTGTTAACTTTTATTTAATACACCTTTTCCACAGGAACCAGTAATAAAATTCAGTGAAAATATTAATATTTGCATGTTCGCATTGCTTAGTAACATCTAAACATAAGCATTATTTTGAAGCTTATACAGACATTTCAAATATTTGACAATAATAATGTTTAAATTTTCAAAAGTTTTACAAGTCTGTCCAATATTCAAAGATAAAGATATATAAAATGAAAATAAATTTACTTTCTTAATCTAAATTCTAAAACTATATGGTGGTCTATTTGTTAAGAGAGCCTAAGGCACTGTACAGATATCATGGTATGTATAATACTGTATATAACAGCATATATCGTACCCTCATATAAAAAATCTAGAGCTAGACAAATCCATAAGGAATGCTGAGATTGAAAGACAGTGATGACATATAAGAGAAAACAGTACTATTAAGATTGTATTTATAGTATGATGTAAACTAAATATCTATTTTATAAATTAAAGAAGGTATATTTTTTTTACTAGGCACTAGGGCCAATGCCCAACAGTGATCTTAATCACTCTTTAAAGTGAAAATCCAATCACAATTCCACAAGACAACAGGGGCTGTAAGGTATGATAAACTGGGTTTTATGTGAACAATTTTGGTACAAAGAAGTTCAAAAGCTTTGTTACATGATACATATTTGCCATCAAACCGACTCAGAAAAGACAACAAAATTGAAGAATGGCACAACTAACCATGGAAACAAATAATTAAATTAGTTTAATCATTTGTGTATATTAAAGAGATTTAAAAAAGGTGATAAGAAACATAATGATAATCTAGATCAAAATCATGATAATCATGATAATTATCAAGATCAGAATCATGGTAATCATGATCATAATGATAATCATGATCAGAATCATAATGATAATCATGATCATAATCAAAATAGCAATCATGATCAGAATCACAATGATAATCATGATCAAAATCACAATGATGATCATGATCATAATTTTCATATTACAGTTGAGAAAAGGGTTTGCATTTAACATCATCTTGATTAAATTTGATTTGATCAAGTTGGCGAAACCTTGCTATAATGAGTAGTTTGTGTAATAAAGAAATACAACTAATTTTCTAATGCATATTGAAATTTATTCTGGTTAACAAATAGCTATTATACACTTAACTGTTAGCTCTAAACAATTCACAATTCCTTAAATCTTACATTTGCACAAACAAAAAGATAAAAAACAACCCCTACAAAGAAAAAAAATTAAAGTACATTTACCCTGTTGGGCAGACAATTTGATGTACCCTGTAAGGTGTAAAGCCTGTCTCTTATAAACATATGGCTTGTGGAAGACGGCATGTCCTATATTTCAACAGGGTAAACAAGCATACAGCTCAACGGTAGGATTTCATTTATTTAAGTTAAGTGAGGCCAACAAAAATAATCGGGTCGCGTCGGGGTTGGCCTAGCCGATGGATCGCGTCTGATCTCAGGACATAGGGCCTGGTATTAATTTTTCTAATAAATTGTGATCTATAAATAGATTGAGGAAAATATTCAACAGTAAATGACAATGCAGGCCTTACCTAGGCAGCTTAGATTAGCCCAATGTAGGCCATAAAATGTATTTAAATCCTTAGCCTAGCTGCCTCTAATATGCATGAGATTTTTGTGTTTCGTACAAATCATTAATAAATACAATATATACTTTTTTCATAGCATTTTGTTATTGGAAACTATTGAATATCCCGACCCAGTAAATGCAGATGGAACAGTACCAACTGTGCGTAGACGTCCCCTATCAGAAATAGAGAAACCAAAACAAAACAGAATGTAAGTTAGGATAGTCATGAGTAGATTTTTCATATGATTGAAAAACGGTAACTGTAGGCCTACAGGGTTTGGTATACAGGAGTTGGTGCTGAAGTTTGTTACCACTTGTATTTTAAACTTGAATATTATTAAGAAAAGTAAATGAAGAGAATAATGTTGGCAGCATGTGCAATATAAAAAAAAAAACAATTGTAAAAATAAAGAATAACAATTTTAATAGATGCATAACATTGAGAACATTATAACTATTACTAAATTAATTATATAGCAATATATTTGAAATATAAAATTATATTACTTGTTTATCAATCTTTAGTTTTTATGTATTATTAAAAGGTTGCTGATACATTAAAGGTAAATAAATCCTTTTATCCTCTGTTTGAAAAACCTTTTCACAAGATATGAAATATTTTTGATGCTATGGGCTTTCCAAATACAAAAAGGTCTACACAAGATGTGTATACTGTATGAATAATTCCTTATGTATATTCAGGGCCGCCAAGAGGGGAAACTGTAACAGGCGCAAGGGTCGGTGTGGGCCTCCAGTTACGAGCGTGAAGCGCGAGAAAGATTGCGCGAAGGCGCAAACAATTTTTTTGATGGGGCCCTGTCAATCTGGAGGAGCCCATTATTAGGGGACCCACAACATTATTGAGGGCCCATGATAGTAATTATTTTTGAAAAATATATGGGGAAAAAATGCTACCTGCAATTTTTATGGGCCCTGGTAAACTAGGGCCCTGGGGATCTTTTCCTCCTCTCTTGGTGGCCCTGTGTAGATTCAAGCTATTTGTGTTGAATTTAAATAAAAGATGTATGTTAGATGTATGCCACTGCAAATTAAATCTGATCATTATGTTTCAATTACAGTATAAAGAAGCTTCTGTGTGTGTGGATTTTTGTTGTTGTCATTATTTAATTTGTTTTAATATTATTATCTTTACTGAACATATTTATATACAAAGCCATGTTGATTGGTGGATGGATGGATGGATTGGGTTAGTTAGTCCCTTTATATTTTAGTCTCAGATCAATGTACAGGAAATATGGCTCGATAGCAGTACAGTAGATAACTTTACAAAAGAAATAATACTGTACACTACATGAAATGCACTGGTTCAATGCCTTTTTGTTTTGATTGTAATTCTGCTACATAACGTTTGTCAACAACCGCGTGCTGAATGGTACAACAATGTTACAATTTTAATGCAGCATACGCAGTTTACAAAAAAAAACAAAAAAAAACCATATAGATTTATATAATTAATATGACTGGTTCTTCTGATTGTGTACATTTCTAAAATGTCCAGTGAGAAACATCGAATCTTATATAGCGATTATTTTAATTTTCATATGGCCTGGATGGTATAAGAATTAGTCAAAATATCATTGACAGATTTAGATAGCCTCCTGACTAGGCCGTGACGGTATCACTACCTACAGTAGGCCTCCCTAGGATACGCCTCCCTAGGCCTATTTGTACTCGAACCTGGGAGGGAGAAGCCAGATTGTGGACTTCAAGAACGGGAAGGCGTGAAATCCATGTTGAACCAGGTATTGAGATGTGTATAAGAGACAGACATTAATATAAATGTAGTTTCCTAATTTTTAAGTCGAAACCTTCCTGTGACCTTACCCCGATTTGCAAGAACAAGAAGAATCGATGAGATTTTATGCTGAAATCTCGATGTGAAACCAGTGAGATGAATAAGACTTCCACATCAATCGCCAGTAATTTCCATCAACTTTTAGTGTCATTATTTTAATTATATGAATGTATACTTGCAAATAGTAATTTAGACCTCTTTTTAAGACACTTTCTGATACATTTTTATGATTCGGCAGAAACGTAAAACAGATATTGTCCGGAATACCTAACAACCACTCTGTGCCCGCGACCGCACAGCCAGCCATGTTTTCTTCTACAAAATGATGTTGTTTGTGGGACCTTAGCAACAATATCCAAGGGGCGGGGCTTAGCGGAAAGGTCTATTACTACCTAGCTAACAAGTTTGAGTGCATCTATTTTCAGTAAAGTAGTGTACTTGCAATTTTCTGGTCCCCAGGTATAAGCTCATTACCTGAACTCCCCATACCAAACTGTTCAGCAGCTGTGGCGGTCCCAGTGGGGGAGAGCTGGCAGCCCCCATCCCCCGCACCGTCACCCCATCGGGGAGAAAAACCACAATTTGTTAAGAAATTTCCTACATTTCTAAATTAGTAAACTCTAAAATTGATTAAATAAGCCTTTGAAAAAACCCCCACCCCGTAGGGCAAATCCTGGCGCCACCCCTGTTCAGCAGCAATGTGGTGATATAAGAATTGAGGGCTTACATGAGCATATGCCAAAGCATTTGAACTTTCACTTGCATCAGCATCTTTTCCAATCCATACAATACACTCCTTGGTAGTGTCCACAATAAAGGCATCCTTTAAAAAAAAAAAGCAAGTAAAATATATTTAATTCATGAAAAAAAATTAGTTTGACACAAAATAATGTTTCAAGTTTCACAAATTCAATTTATGTTACAATATAAAAGTAAATGGTACTCTGTACTGGTGTGGGCATTTCTAATGCGCATTTTTCTTGTGGTTATAAAGCACAATTCTTTCCCTGGTCATTGGGGTCACATGCTTTTACGTGTTGCTGCTGGTAATCAGTGCAGCTACCCCACCAGGTACCCATTTGGACTCCTGGGTGAAGGGAAGCAATGCAGATAAAGTGCCTTGCTCAAGGACACAAGTGAAATGCAAATGTCCCTATAATAGTAGTACTATTAATTAATATTTAATAAACTTACATCAGATGCCAAATCCTCCCTCTTGAGTGTTCCTTCAGCAACCAGGGTGAATTCAAGTTTACCATTGACATCCTTTAACCTTAGATGTGAACATTAAAATGTATAAATTATAAATATATTATTATATTAATAAATGATAATTATTATTTTTATTAAATTTTTATTTGTTATTTATTCTTTATTTTTCCAATGAAACAATATACAGATCAAAATCCAAGATGGCAAGGAATGACCACGGTTAAAATAAACTTTGGCTCTCAAGCCAGTCATTCAATCTTAGAAAAAGAATAAAAAGAACAATACAAAAAATATAACTTGCTTAACTACAAAAGATTTGCAAGAGTTAAAATTTGAAATGAAGAAGGCAAATAAAATACAGCATACAATTTTTGCAAAATTGCAAAAAATATCGATACAAATATAATATATTATAACAATTAATCTGGTAATTATCATTAACTATAATTATAACGGATATAATATATAATTTCAAAAGGAATTGCACTTATTAGGATACAGATGTCATAGTTCAAAGTTCATCACTTACATTCTTTTCCATCAGAAGATAAATTGCAATAGATAAAAGAGCTGTACAAAAATTTCAACAATTTGCATTCTAAAATGTCAAGAATTTGTCAATAACTGTCAAGGGCCTTTCTTCAAGACAGCTATTAAAACCAATATCAGCAAAACAAATATAATCTCTTTTCTTACTAGAACTTAACCTGTTCTCATTGGATTGGAGCTCTTTACCACCAATATTGGGTTGGAGCAAGTAGTGCAACAAATTTAACCAACATGTAGCAACATCTTGCCTAGGAACCAAGTTGTTTTCTCGAGAAGAATAGTAATTAAGAATTTTATTGCAATTTTTTTACCGAAAACGTTTAATTTAGACTCTTCTACATCATAATAATTTTCACCAGCTTTCAATTTTATATTTTTTATTTTATTAAAAAAAAAAAACAATATTATTATCTTATTACATATTTATTCAAGTTTATCGAAACAAGCAATCGAGTGCTGAACATGTTAATAAATAAATGACAAATATTATATTACGACTATTCTAATTCTTTATATTTATATAAATTATTTATTTTTAAAATTTAATTTTTTTTTTTTGAAAATAAATGATTGTCATAGTTGGCTCTGTGACTGTCATAGACTAGTACTGGATCTCAGACTATTCACTTTGTAGCATAATTTTTGACCAATTACACCATTCGCCACTTCTAGACATGCTGTATGCTGGTGTATTTTCTCTTTATCATGACACCTCCCAACTTCTTCCTCCCCACCCATCCATCCCACATCATTCCCATATTCAAGATATGCCGCTAGTTGGCGTAGGCCTATTTCCTTCTTACCTGTGCATTGCAGGGAGTGAATCATCAGTCTCGTCATTGCATGGAATAAGTTCTTCATCAGGCAGTGCTTCATAGAACGAATGATTTGGTGGTATACTTTCTTCTTCGACGGTTTCACTCTTTGATTTACCACCACGTGAGGGTTTCAGTGTCTCCTGAATGTATGAACGAGCCTAATAAAAAAAAAAATTAAAAACAAATATAACTCACCTCTTCCTAACATTAGACCCATATGTACCACTCCGCTAATTTTTATGATCAATTGTTGGTTTTTTCATAACAGACAGGTGTGAATACATAACTTCCTTGGATGGCAGACAATTCAATTTGTAAATCAATCTACTTCAGGAATTTGAAATACAGGGATCCCAGAGGGACTTTCACAGATTTCAACCTCAGCCCCACCATGGTTGGGGCAGAGGCAAGAACAAATTATGGCACCTCTAGATAGCCGGAAACAGAACTCAAAGTCTTGAATATAATTTTCTTTTTTTCCCCACCTTTTTAAAAAAAATAATTTTGAAACACTTAGGGGGGCCCTGGCTGGCTGGGCCCTCTTAAATCTGCCACTGTACTTCATAGGCCTCTCTCCACCTCATAAGCCCATTGTAGTATCTCTAATAGTATAGTGCCATCTATAGTTAGGATATAGAGCGATCATATGAGCAGATCATAAATGGCATCTGTCATTGTGACATCATGGTTTGATGAGTTACTTGAATAAATGAATATACCAGAGTGTTATGTAACAACATTTGCAAGTCTTATTATTGTTGTCTACCCACAACACACATCCCAATACTCCACCTTGTAGGACCAATTACTCCACCTCATAGGCCTATTTACACCACCTCATAGGCCACATTACTCCAACTCATAGGCCACTTTGCTAATCAAATTTACCTTGAACTTTTCATCATAACTGCATTTTTTCCCGCACCATTGGTAAATTTCTAGACCTTTGTCAAGAATGAACACATCTTCAGAGTTAAGAGCCTTCTTTGTGAATTGAACCTGTAGAAATATATATATATATATAGATATTATTATTTTTGAATTTATTAACGACCATAGAACAAATGGGTTGTTGCAAAGAAAAGTTAGAAGTGATTGGAAGCTAGTGAAAGAACATTTTCCAATGGTTCTGAAACTGGAAAACAGAGCGGAAACATTTTGAGAAGGCCCAACAAAAAAAATTCTTGTGTTGGCCACGTTTTGAGAAAATCCAAAAAAAATGTGTAGGTCAGTAGGAAAAGTTTTTTTTTTTTTTTAGCAATAATGTGTTTATCCCCAAAAAGTAGAAAAATATACAAAAATACAACAAAAACCATTTTAAAATCTATATTGAAGAGCAAAACTATCGCATAACACTGGCGCATCACCTACCATCCACCGAGTCTATCCATTATGGAATAAAGGACAGACTCGGGTTAGATATCCAGGCCTGTAACCGAGGGAGTTTGGGGAAACTTTCACCCTTTTGAACAGCTTACTACTGTAGTGGTATTTTATCATAATCTTTTTCTATTAAAGAAACACTTCTGAGTTAAACTTGGCCTATAGGAAATTCCCTTCACATGAACCCGCCGTTCCAAGTTTCCGATTTGATTGCCAGTTATGATTTATCTTTAATTCGGTTACTTGACTGTAATTTTGTAAGATCTTATAGGGTCTTCTCGTGGCAAGTGTCTCTACACTAAACCAGGGCTAATCAATGTAGAATATTATAAAAAAAAGTTGTTTATTTTTGCAATTATTTTAGTTGAAAATAAATGTGTTATCTATCAATCAATCAAATCACGAGTCTCCCAAATTTTCATACAATTTTCCAGTCTCTAAAATTTTGTCAAATACTCCAAAATTGTCAGAAAAGAACCCTCAAATACCAAAAACGGTTAATTTAGTGGCTTTTTGGTACCAATAATTGAGTATTGTCCCTTGTCTACGCGTGGCGTGAGCGTTCTACTGCTGTAAAAAGTAAATAGACTGACTGAGGCTGGTTAAGTAACGTTGAAGTGTTATCTTTGGAAATGTTGCTAATGTTATTTTTGGAAAAGTGCATAGCTTAAGTACTGTAGTGAAAATTATTTACTACTTGGTTTTTCTTGTTGTTAAGCGTATAGAGGCTTTTGCGAAATGTGCTATTGAAGAAATTATTATTATTATTACTATTATTCTTATTATTATTATCCTTTTTTTTCTCGAGCAAGTTCTGAATCGGTTCATCCAGGACTTGCTGTATAGTGCACTGTATGCAATTTGAAATTATGTCTTTTTAAAATTTGAAAAGCTATACAACCAAAATATGTTTTTATGATTTAAAGGGAGACAAATAAATTTCCTTTTATTTTGTATCGATTGTAAGCATTCACAAAATAGACCTTAGAATTCAAAGGCAAGAACAAAGCTACTAAATGTGTCAGTTTCTCCAAACTAAGAACATTACATAGACCATATCAGTCTGTTGATAATAACAGAGAGCGACACTGATTCTGGAAGTCTTCATGAACTATTTCTTCAGGAGTTATTTAATCAGCAAATTTTTTTTTATTACCATTTTTTTAGGCAGATTGTGCCCTTTAAAAATCTTCATATACAGTGTATTATTATTTAACTTCAACATACCTCTTTTACGCTAATCTTCTTCCTCGATTCCTTCTTCACCTGAAACAAGCGTGGGTTGTATTTCTCGGGCTCTACATGCCTGAAACCGGAGTCTGCCCCACCTGACATAATATTTAATGTTTTGAAGTAGCTCTTGAACATTTCTGATTCATAATTTTGAACTTCCCTGTGTTGCACTGGTTTATCATCAAGAAGGGTGTCCAATTCAACAGTTTTGTAAGCAGCAGTGCCATACTCATCCTGTAAATACAATTTCAAGAATAGTTTTTATACCTATAATGAAGATAATGGTACATCTTCATTGAGATTTATCATGAACATAATCTGGGGAGTTGGGGCACCACTGCAGCAAATTAGTTCCGCAGTGAGTTATGAAAATGTATGTCTAATAATAATTTTTCCTTGTTTATATTATCTTGCTACAGAGCATGTCATCTATTATACACTACTCAAAATATATGGTTTGTTAAAAGACAAATAGGAAGATGACTTTCTGTCTACAAGGGCATTTTATATTATGCTCCCATGTGACTGCATCACTGAAGACATCAGTGGTAGGTATTGTATCCCTTAGCAAAAGCTGTGGCATAAATATCACTATATTATTATACAGTAGGTTGTGATAGGGCTAATATCTTTGGTTGAGGTTTCAAAATTATTATTATTACAATATCCAAGTTCTTTAAGCTCTTCTCTTGAACAAGAAAGACGTGGTGGATGCAGAATTCAAAATCAAGGGGGACTTCCACAGATGTAGATTCTAGACCTCTTCAGCCCATGGTTGGGTCTGAGTTAAGAAAATGTATTATTATGGCATCTCAAATAATGGCCAGAAATGGCACTCTCAAACCATAATTTTCCCTTTTTCTCCATTTTTTATTTTATTTTAAAAATTTAGTTGGGGGGGGGGCAAAGTGGGGGAATATTCATAAACTGATTAACAAATTCAGTGGAAAACTAGGAGGAAAAATACATCCGAGAAATACTGGGGGAAAGATAGCAACCCTAAAAATTAACGCCGGCATTCTGCAATGCCGACATAAACAGGGGCGTCTAGCTAGTATTGTGGTAAACTCGGCAGGATCGCTGTGAACACATCATTAAACTTTATTCTTAAAGAAAGCAAGTTATTTAATGCCTTTTATGTTGTATGAGTAATATGTGAATAAAATCAAACTTGATTGCGTGTTTCATGCTTTTATATTGTTTTTACATGCACTTTTGGTCTGACACTTTTTTTCACTACACTACACTACACATTCTTCGTGGTCACGATTCAACTTGCTGGTCGGTTGTTGTAAACATCAGGTCTTGCCTCCTAAACTCTGCCCGCTAATTGGTTACTTTTTTTTGTGGGGTCGTGGATGGGCAAACATGTGCTTGGCTGTGATGACGTCCAATAGCCCAAAGTTTCATAGATAGTAGTGCTTGACAGCTTGCATACAGGAACAAGCTCAATGTAAACTGATAAATTTTTAAGCAGATTTAATAAAACAAATAAGACACCTTCGTGGTTTTGTTTAAGAGTCAAATCTAAATAAATCTAAATTTCATTCTCTACAAATTTCCTCTATAGTCAGTAACATGTTTTTTGAGGAATGAGTGAAGCTATGTATTTGTAATTTACACTGATGAATCTACGACATCCAATTATCTGAATTAAACGTCTTACTGAAAAAGAGTCAGCCATCATAGAAACTAGTTTTGAGTTCCGTCTCTATTTGGGACTAAACTGGCTGTACTAACGGTTCATTCACAGGGTGTTGTTATAGACCTAGTTGTTAATTACTAGACAGCGATTATTATTGCATTATTTCGTCCGGAAATCGTTGTTTAAACTGTTCAGTTTGTAGTATTAAACGTTCGGAATATGGAGATCCGGTTTTCGGAAAGTATTTAATGAAAGTAACAGTAATAGAAATGGTTCCGCAACTTGAAAAAAAAATCGGTTTAGGGAAAATTAGGTTTTTTGGGCATTCGGAATTCGGAGATTCCACTGTATTTTATTTCTACAGTTAGTTTCATTTTATTCATCATCATAATATTTTAAAACATTTTTCAAAATTTTATCAATAATAGTTGTGATTATTACGTAGGCTAGGCTCTCAAGCTTGATTGGGTGACTTGAAAAGACGTTCATTACTGCTACAACAGGTCAGCATGGCTTGATTTCAGCTTCTAAAAAATGCTGACGTTATAACTGGCGTCAATTTTAAAGCGCTGGCGATTTTAATTTTTTTTTCCCCGACACTTTTTTCCTAATTTTGAGGGCTGAGATAGTTGGTGGGTACATACCTGTGTGGAATTTTTGCCAATCCAAAAATGAACATCATACAGTAATTCTTCATTATCTGGTTCTTGCTGAAAGAAATTCAATTCAGAATTCAGATAAAAAGAAAAGAAATTTTACAGCATTAAATATTGTAAGTTGTCAAGTCACTAGACAGATTACATTATCTAAACACTCTGTGAGTGCATGACGACGCTACACCATCTGCTGGTCGTTGGCAGCAGCCTTAGCGGATAACCATGTGCATGCATGTCGTTACGTTGCTCATGGGATTGCGTCGGTCAATGACCATTGGCGGCATGTGCGCCTTCAGTTTTAGACATACACTATCTGATGAAACAAGTCTGATCAAACAAATACTACAGAAAAAAGCATGATTACAAATCAAGGCCCACAGTGGGAGGGAGAATCCCGTAAATTGAGTGCCCCGTAAATTGAGTGCCCCGAACTTCCACGCGCAGGCAGTGCCGTATGTAGGGGGACTCATGCCCCTCCCCCACCAGTCGCGTCCCCAAAAATCATGGTCAGGTAGTAAAAAATCACCCTATTTTGCAAATTAGCACCCTTCTACTGATCATCAAGGCCCCCTCCACTACAACTTTGTGCCCCCCATCAGCACCCTCATTTCAAACTTCTAGATACACCACTGTGTGCAGGCATATACCTTCTGGAAACTATCCCATTTTCCGAAAACACATGATGTTGGTATGTTTTCCCTACTTTTCTTTTATTGTCTCTCTGAACTTAATCGTTCATGGGTGGAACATACACTGATGATGTGCCAACTCTGATTTCACTGACAGTGAGATCTGATTGTGACTGTAAGTGGCTTCTTCCAAATCCCCTGTAAGGTATGCTCCGCCTAATGTACTAAATTAAACTGGCTTTTTCATACATACATAGGTGTTCAGGATAATGTAAGAATCACCATCATAGAAAGATCCATATTGGTTCTTGTCCCAGTGAGTAACTTCAAACTTAACAATTCGCCAGATCTGAAGGCCAGTTTTTTCTCCTGCCCCCTTCCAGGCTTCTTCCGTCATTGCAGACTCTTTCTTCACCTCTCTATCAGTATCACTGCCAATGAGGGCCATGTTAGAATCCTTCCAGTCATATTCTTTGGCTTTGACCAATCCAGTCATGATGAGATTTTTGTGTTAAACTATGGAAACAAAAATTGAATATATTTTTAAAATATAATATAATTTTTTTTAATAGTTTGTGTTACCAATAATTGTAAAAAGAAAACAAGCCATAGTTTATAAAATTTAAATTAATAATTCTAGTAATTACTTGTAACCACGCCCTTTTACTGTTATGTCACCATCAAACATGAATACCATATTTAAAACACAAACCAACTTTACAGAATTATAAAGTCTGAAATAGAAAATTCCCTACATTAGAGCTGACAGAAAAAAATGTTATTATCACTCCCTCCCTCATCAAAAATTTTGGAAATTTTGATGTGGTAATAAAAGATATTTTGTTTTTTTACCTCATAAATTTTTTTAGCAACATATCCTGTGGTATGCGGAAAGTCTGTATCAAACTATGACGCAGACATTATATGAGCATTTTGTGAACATTTTAAATGCAAAACACTTTACCCAAACATGCAAATGTGCATCTTTGTTGTAAATATATGTTAAGGTTCAAACAGACATTTTTTTAGAGTGATAACCTATTATTTTTTTTCTGTACTAAATATGATAGGATATCCAGAAATACAACAACTTTATTAAATAACCGAAAGGTCCACTGATTAATCTCAGATAAGAAAGTATAATACATACTCCAAGTATTGAAATACACGATGGCGTGTATTTCAATACTTGGAGTATGTATTATACTTTTTTATTAAATAACATTCACCATATAAGGTAAAATGAAAATATTTTTTGCATCTTAGAACTAATACTATACTATATACTATAAAATATACATGAATACTGAAATGTACAATACTGTAGAGCAAAGTATTTAATATAATGTGAATTCAAGGCCAGCAAGTGTGTAGGCAAGGACTGTGCTTCTATAGTTGGATGGACAAATACATACTAAACAGCTTATAGAATACAGGAACTAGGAAGAGATATAAGCCCACAATTGAGCTGTAAACCAACCAATAACAAAGGACAGACTTGTATTAACATATGACAGACAATTTCCACGCATACAAAATAAAATGACCAAATATGGTGTTGAACTGGTATTTCAAGTTTTGTAGCATATTATAGTGTGTTGGTTGTTGTTTAGTTAAAATATATTTTTATGTGTGCTTAAGTGTTGGAAGGTTATAAGCTGAAGTCAAGTACAGATCTGTTTTAACATTAGACAGTATGCCTAAAATTCATAACAAAAACGAAACCTCAAATTTTAATAAGTTATAACAGAAAAACAGGAAGATATAAAGTTACTGTACTATATAAATTTGGAGGCTGATTTCCTAATAGACAATTTTACTACAGTACCACTATCAAACATATACTCCCCACTTACACATTTTACATTGTACTATATGGTATACCACACCAATATTTAATTTTGTTGTTCCCTAGTTGTAATACAATATACAGGATACATAATTGACTTTGTTATTCTTTTTATTATTTCCTTACAAATATTATATATCATAATAATTATTTTTAATATACCAACAATATTGTATAGTGTTCTTTATATTGATGTTGTTGATCAAACCTCATTCTGATATACTGTACAGTTGGATTATTATATTCCTTACTGCTGCTAAGACTCCTTTCAGCCCTCTGTACTCCAGCGCAGAAATTTACCAACAAATTTCAACATCAGTTAAAATTAAAATATTCTACCAATGATATGGCCAAATAAAAAATTAATTATTAGCTTCACCTCTGGGATTTGAAAACATTTTTTGGTGAGGGTATTACTATCATATATACTGTATTAGTTGTAAACAGGCTGGTAAATACCAAGTTTGTTAATTACTACAGTATATAAAAAGAAGTAAAATGAGCGTTTACCGTATTATGTATACTTTTATTTGATTTATATTTCCACCTCTGTTTGATAATCTTTCAGATCATGATTATTTTTATTTTCCATAGAAAAATAAGATGTTTCACGAGGCTCCAAAATTTGATGAGGATGGGGACATGAAATTAGCAATTCATTTTATTTGTTCAAAAATATTTCATTACTAACAAAATACATGTACTGTACTGACATTTTGTTTCCCTGAAGAGTATGAAAACCTATTTAGTACAGTGTATATCATAACACGGAAAACATCCTTGGATAAAAATGTATCAATCTATCTTTTTTTTTTAACGAAAATTTACGGTACAGAATATGATAATTAAAAATTTTTCTATGTTGTGCTAATCATGTTGAAATTCAATAATTATTTAATATGGAAATTCAATATTGAATTATTTATAATTTCTTTTAAGTTAATTGGCTTTTAATGAAAAATCAGAATGAAAAACAATCTATTTTTTGTTGTGCCTAATTAACTTGAACAGCATTCAATATTTTAATTATTAAATTTGTATACTAATTAAAGTTTCAATGAAAACTAGAGTGGAAAATTAAACATTCCTCACCAATTAAGATACATAATATTATTATATTATTCTTAATTTCTCTGTATAAGTCATTAAATTAGCTATAATACAACTTATAATTTTTTGTATTAAAATGTCTTTATTAAATTTAGTGAAAATTGAATTGTTTAATCAGTCTCTCATTTAAGTTTAAAACTTTTTGTGATAAATTTCAATTGGGAATTCCATAGTTTAATTTATTTTCAGGGCTTTTCGATATACAAAATATCAGACTACTTTAAGTAGGTCAAGGCTCATTAGCATATTGATTCAAGAGGATATTTTCAAAAGGTCATATTTAATTTATTAAGTGTATACACGCTGTATTTATTGAATTAAAGCTTTATATGTGATCCATGAATGAATTTGTTAGACATTTTATTTCATTGCGTGTGACCCATTAACATGTACATAAATTTTGCAATTAAATGCTAATATTTTTTAGGGTTTTTAATAATTTTGCCAGATAGGTCTTTAATAACAAACTAAATTTTAGTGCTCATCCCATCAATAAAATAAATATAATATATTAATAAATATTTTACACATTTTTTTGCTTTGATTATGTTTTTGTGAACAGAGGCATAGGCAGGTTTCATCCTAGGTGAAAATTCCAATTAAAACTCAGTGGGCATTCTAATTTGCTGCAATGGGTGGGAGAGGGGGTGCATCCATACCTCTACATCCCCCAGCCCATTCCCGGGAAAAGATTATTGTAAGCACCTCTTACTGTGAACTAAAAACAGAAATATAACCTGTGTGTAAAGAAACATAGGAGGTGTTGGGTAGGGATAAGTTTCCTGTAACCTAACAAGACATCCATTGCCAACAGTATGTGAGGAGAGCCTATCTAGTGGTAGCTTTAGAGTGGATGGGACCATCTAACTTCGGCTTTGAATGAAACGCAAAGGCCTTACATTTCCAGTACTGTACACACTTATTATTGGTGCATTTAAAGTTAAACTTGTATTACATTTGAAAATAACAGGGGAGGTTTATCTTAACTTTTGGCTCAAATTACCCCGCTCGCCCCTGGACACAGGAAAGCCTTTCCTTCCTACTGTAGGTTATGGCTCAGGGAGTCCTATGACCTATCCAACTAGTTTAAATGGGCAAAAGTGAATGACACATGGGAAAACTAATGTCACTAAAGATAACAGGCCAACAGTGTAGCATAGAGTAATTTCTATCTTTCAATTTTTCAGTATACTGTAACTTGAATTTGTTTACATTTTAATTCTTTTGAGCCATCCTTGAAATTGTTCAGCCTCAATGATCACGACACGATAATATCCTTCAACCTTTACTGTTTTTGTGAGGGGAGCTATAAACTTGTTCACTGGGGAATTCAAATGCTGTTGTTTTCAACAAAGAATGGATTCAATTGGATTTACTCCTTTTCACTGAAAAATGGGTCCAACAAATGAGGTCAACAATGCTAAATCAGAAATGTGTATCAAGTATTTACACTGGCCCTAATAACTCAAACATCTGGTTGCATTACCAAACACCTTTAGCCTCTGTAAATGAAATATCACTCAGTCTTCAGATTGAAAATCATGTGTTGGTCATTTAAGAATGGTATCCAGAATAGGAAATTGGAAAATAACGCAATGATATTACCATCTGCATTTAAGCAATTTGATAAATTATTCAACAAATTCTTGATAAACCATCAATTGCACTACTAATATGATTAATGAATGACAGAATCAATCAAAATTTTAAAAGGAAATTTCAGAGAGATTTTGTACAAACAAGCAAAGAACTCAATTGACAAGAAATGTTTAATAGCATTAAGTACATCCAGGCCAAGATGTAATTGGGAAGCCTACAAAATGAAGACACAATGCCAAATAGATAAATACATAAATCAATGACAGTGAATGTAAGGATATATTTGGGCCAGCATATTAAAGAACGTCAGTACAGCTTTACTACATTTGCTTTTTGTATACTGTAGTGCGCATCTATCTGAAATGAAAGATTGACTATTTTAGTCCCTACAAAAATAAGACCTACCTTTTCCTGTGAATGCAAGACTATCACAATAACCTAAATACTGCAATGAGCCAGATTCGTTCAATATTTAGCTCAAATGAAATCAAATTCCAACGAATACACCTAGTAGTTACTAATAAGATAGCAATTTGATTAAAAATACATTTTATTTTATAGTTACAACTTTAAATTCTCAAAATAAAATCTAGGCCAGCAGATTTACATGATACAAATTTATATTATAAAACTTTAATCTCAAAATGATTTTAACTTACAAAAATATGTATAAGAACGTTAAGATCCGATTTCTGACTGGGTGTGACTACTACGGGAAATAACAACACCGGTAAAATGCCTGTTGAGTTTGCACAAGTGACCTCACATGACCTAGACATGTATAGGTAGTGTACGTGGGTGGCCAGTTATAGGCAGTCACTGATTCATCACTTCCCTTAAAATTTCAGCTATACGTGTAGAACACTTTAGAATTAACAGCATTAAAGTCTCACTAAGTTCTTGACCTAATATTTCATTCAAATCCAATTTTCTCTCAAAGCCTAAAATTCATGGAACA